TCGAGACTTTATCAAGAGTAGTGCATTATTTATGACAATTTTAGTTTCTTCGGGGAGAAATACAATGGCTCTTTTGGAGCCATCAATTAATTTAGCACTACAATTTATTGTGTTAACATTTGTTTGTTCTATTTTTAAATGAGAAAAATACTTCATGTTTTTAAGTATAGTGTGTGTAGTAGCACTATTAATGAAACAAATATCATCATCACCATTGTTTGATCCCAAATATTTGGCATCCATTTCTTCAGGAAGAAATGACAAAAAAAATTACAAACAAAAGTAAATATTTATAAATTCCATAAATTACAAAATTCTTAAAGAAAATTACATAAAAGATGCGAAAATAACAAAATTTAAAATGTCGGGTATTTGTCATGGGATCATTTTGCAACTTCAGGTTGCTCAAGGAAATTAGCTACATCGAGGTTTATGATATCATCAAGATTATCATAAACGTTGTTTTGATCAATAAAATTTGTCTCGGTATTTTTGCCTTTCCCTTTTTAATGATGCTTGATAGAGATCAATAAGATATTTGCCATACGACAGGTATGGGACCAATGGCCTTTTATTCCACACCGCCAGTATATTTTCTTATAATGTTTCTTTTCTTCACTTTTCTTATCAGTATTGACCCACTTCTGGGAGTTGTTTTGTCTTTTTCCACGGTTATGATCATTGTGATTATAAGGCACATATTTGTCATGACCTCGTCCATGACAACGGCTACGTCCTCAGCCTCTTACACGGCCATGTCCACGCCCATGACCATGATTTTGAGATTGAGTTGCATTCGCTTCAGGGAATGAGCTAGCACCAGTAGGTTGGGATTCATGATTTTTAATAATAATTCATTATTTTGTTCAGCCAAAAGGATGCATGAAATCAATTTGGAGTATTTCTTAAATCCTCTCTCTCGATATTGCTGTTGCAGGAGCATATTCGAGGCATGAAATGTGGAGAATATTTTTTCTAACATATCGTCATTAGTGACATTTTCTCCACATAATTGCAATTGAGAGGTAATTTTATACATTACAAAATTATACTCACTGATTGATTTAAAATCTTGTAGCCTTAAGTGAAGCCAGTCATACCAGGCTTTTGGGAGCACGACCAACTTCAGGTGGTCAAATCTCTCTTTCAAATTATTCCACAGAGTAAGTGGATCTTTCACAGTTAGATATTCAGTTTTTAATCCTTCATCCAAATGATGACGAAGGAAAATCATAGCTTTGGCACGGTCTTGATTTGATGTCTCATTTTCTTCCACAATAGTATTTTCAAGACTCATTGCAGCAAGATGTATTTCAACATCTAACATCCAAGATAAGTAGTTCTTTCCAGAAATATCAAGAAGCATAAATTCTTGTTTTGTAAGGTTAGTCATAGTGAAAAATAAATTGAATTGGAAAGAGAAATTTTACCTCAAAGGTTTACCAAAATATGAATACGTGCCCAACGATGAATCTAAAGGACTTGAAATGGATTGTTTCAATGGTGTAGCATATTTCCTCATAATGTTTCTTTTCTTCACTTTTCTTATCAGTATTGACCCACTTCTGGGAGTTGTTTTGTCTTTTTCCACGGTTATGATCATTGTGATTATAAGGCACATATTTGTCATGACCTCGTCCATGACAACGGCTACGTCCTCAGCCTCTTACACGGCCATGTCCACGCCCATGACCATGATTTTGAGATTGAGTTGCATTCGCTTCAGGGAATGAGCTAGCACCAGTAGGTTGGGATTCATGATTTTTAATAATAATTCATTATTTTGTTCAGCCAAAAGGATGCATGAAATCAATTTGGAGTATTTCTTAAATCCTCTCTCTCGATATTGCTGTTGCAGGAGCATATTCGAGGCATGAAATGTGGAGAATATTTTTTCTAACATATCGTCATTAGTGACATTTTCTCCACATAATTGCAATTGAGAGGTAATTTTATACATTACAAAATTATACTCACTGATTGATTTAAAATCTTGTAGCCTTAAGTGAAGCCAGTCATACCAGGCTTTTGGGAGCACGACCAACTTCAGGTGGTCAAATCTCTCTTTCAAATTATTCCACAGAGTAAGTGGATCTTTCACAGTTAGATATTCAGTTTTTAATCCTTCATCCAAATGATGGCAATGAAAATCATAGCTTTGACACGGTCTTGATTTGATGTCTCATTTTCTTCCACAATAGTATTTTCAAGACTCATTGCAGCAAGATGTATTTCAACATCTAACATCCAAGATAAGTAGTTCTTTCCAGAAATATCAAGAAGCATAAATTCTTGTTTTGTAAGGTTAGTCATAGTGAAAAATAAATTGAATTGGAAAGAGAAATTTTACCTCAAAGGTTTACCAAAATATGAATACGTGCCCAACGATGAATCTAAAGGACTTGAAATGGATTGTTTCAATGGTAGAGTCTCGTGCTGATAACGTGTTGTAAAACAAATGTATTTTGGTGTAGCAGTTTATATGGTAAATTATAAACTATAAAATAGAGTAGAGAAAGTAGATAAGAAGTAGAGAGAATTTTTATTTTATCAAACTTTCATTACAAAGTGAGGTAGGAATACCTCTATTTATAGACAAATTAAGATGATGATACATGAATCATATTAACTACTTATTAATGAACTTAGTCATTCTAGAACATGTATTATGTTATTCTAGGAAGAAGGTTAATGTACTAGGGGAATATTAAGGGCTAATACATGTATCAATCTACTCGGGAAAACAAGAGAGGGAGTAATCAATCTTCCCCAGGAAGTTCCCACCGCCTCCTCCCCTTTCCTTTCCTCATCAAACAAACCATAAACCCTCTCTCCCTCTCTCTCAATGGGAAGTTCAAACCCTAGAAATCGCAGGCGCCAGCGAGGCGACGAGGATGCCACCTCCGACTCCGACTTCATCCTCGAAACTGTCAGAGGCGACGATGACGACAGCGATGGCTTTGACCCCGACAACATCTACGATGCTGACAAAAACATGGTAGATTTCTATGATAGTTTTCTTTGAATCGAAAGGTAATTTCTTGCAGAATCTAGGTTTATTCTTCATTCGCCTCTGCTACAGTTAAAAAAGAGATAGGGGCATCATCTTCGCCCTTTCCTCTTGCCCCAGCCTTGATTTTAGTTTGTGCATGGACATCCACAATCGGATGAAGAGTCACAGCGCTGCTTCCGGTCATCCTCCGACAGCGAAGCGGTGGTGGACTTGCTTCTCTGTCACCGTTCCGGTCATCACCTTCCTCTCGCTCATCGGCACGGGATCAGTACTCCTTGGACTCCACAATCGGTTCCCTAATGGTTAGTTCTTGGTTCGAAACCCTAACCCTAGGGTTTGTTTGGATCTGATGAGATCGAGCTGATATCTGATTAGAGGGAGTTGGGATGTTGTTCTCATTATTTTTGAAACCACTGATTTGTTTTCATTTTTGGAATTTGTTGTGCATGATATAATACAGAGGAGAGTTCGCCGTCTCTGGTGAGGGATTTTTCTATTTTGTTTTTTTAAAGTTAAATATTTTTTAGGGTTAATTGCACTTTAATACCTTGAGGTTTAGTCAAGTTTTCACTTGGAAGTATAAATTTTCCCAGAAAACATTTCGTGTTCATTCTTGCTTTCAGTTTAGGGTATTCACATCGAATTTTATTGTCAAAATTATTAAGCAGGAGTTGTTTTTGTTACAATTCAATGCCAAATTTTAGTGCTTTTAATTGACTAAAGAAGGAAGATAGGGACATGGATGGAATTTTGGGGATGTAGAGGTCCAAATGTGAGGCCTTTTAAACAAAAGTTTAAATGGTGGTATAACTGAGGATATTAAAGATAAAATTCATGAAACTTTATGGTATTATTTGGGCAAATTTGAACATCAAGATATCAAATTTAAGTGTTGATGCTGTAGAGTAATTAAGTGCTATTGGCCCTTTACTTCATTAATCAATATTATGTAGTTGTAATTATGCAAAAGTTTAAGATGTATCTTGAAACTTAATTTCGATACTTTTGTTAAATGTAATTGCAATAGATTTGATCTTTTTTATCTGTATATGTAAAACATTTGATGCGATACTTTTGTTAAATGTAATTGCAATAGATTTGATCTTTTTTATCTGTATATGTAAAACATTTGATGTTTTATTCAAAAATTTTTGCAATAGATTTGATCTTTTTTATCTGTATATGTAAAACATTTGATGTTTTATTCAAAAATTTCTACATATTTACAGGAGCATATATCAGATCATATATCATAGTTGTCAGGTTAAATGCCAAGTTAAATGATTAACAAATCCATAATGTTGAACATTACAACTATATACATTACTTGAAGGGATAAGCAAGAGATTTAACTATCTGTGTTAAGAGTTTTAATTATTTATGTTTCTATGTTTAAATATGGACTTAAGTATATGATGAATTGCAAACAAATATCTATCTGCATATCCTCATTGGTTATATATGATGGACTTCAAGTATGTTTAAGATAAATTTATCGTGACAAAACAATATCCTCATTGGTTATATATGATGGACTTCAAGCATGTTTAAGATAAATTTATCATGACAAAATAAAAAAATGAGATGAGAAAAAATTACGCACAGAAATAATCTGTAAGGATGCTGTGCTTAGCACGAGATGAATACTAGTATATAGAAAACATAAGTGACAAGTAAGTTGTAAGGAATCACAAAATAAGTAGTCAAACGTAACTAAGTGCAAATGCCCCTGCATAATGGATTTGAACTCACAACAGGACAATGGAATTTACCATGAATCGGTATATGCATCTTACATGATCCGATAACCCGAAACGACACGTAGTCCTAGGACGGCGTCTAATTCCCCTCCCTCGACTCCCCCAAAGTTTCGAGAATTTCCTTCCTCATCGTTCTCCGCCCTAACGGGCTCTCGTCGATCGATCAATCAAAATCAACAAAATTCCCCCATCCTTTTAAAACCCTACTTTTACATAAACTGTCAATCCTCCCTGTCTCTCTATCTATCAATGGCGCAGCAATCCAGAGAACCCCAAACCCTAGATATTGCCGAGGATCTCATCACCGATCCTTCCCTGTCTCGAAACGCCTCTTTCAGCCGCCTCAACGCCCGTGCTCCTGAGTTCGTGCCAAGGTCGCCGTTGCCGGTGAACCGCGGTGGTCATCGAGTCGAAAACCAGCATCATCAGCATCAGCCTGTGGTTCACGTAATCTATCATCATCCTCCACCGCCGCCTCCGGTGAGCCCGCAGTTTGTTGTTCCGTCATCCAGTCCTGGGATATATCATCACCATCATCATAATAATCATGAGTACTATGAGGAGGATGTAAATCAGGCTACGGCACGACAGGATCCCGCGAAAGAAGGATTGTCTGACGATGTCACTAACAAGATCACCAAACAGGTTTGTATTTCCTCTTTCTTATGTGCATTTACTACTATTCTTTATTTAACATTGTCTTTTTTTTTAAAGAAACATAGGGTAAGTAAAGGGAATAAGGAAACATAGGGTAAGTTAAGAAAAGGTACGAGAATATGTAAAACTTGTCTGGGAAGTTTAATAAAGTGAAGTGAAGAGAATATACGTAAAATTATATAAATGACCTTACATATTATTAAGTCATATTATTGTTAGAAATTAGATAACCAATATACATCTATTCCTATCTATCTATCATCATCATCATCATCATTATCATTGTCATTGTCATCTTCTTGTACATTATGTATCCACTATCAATATAAATATAAATCACATAAATATGAAAAATTTGGAAAATAGTTAGCATGAAAAATAGTAAGGAATATTTACGTACCAACATAGAAAGCTTAAGTTACATGTTCCTTTCAAAATGTGATCACCAATTCTATACAACTTTTGCTATATATATATATATATATATATATATATATATATATATATATATATATATATATATATATATATATATATATATATATATATATATATATATATATATATATATATATATATATATATATATAAATTGCCATAGTTAATTGGCACAAACAACTTACAAAAAGAGGGACATAAAGCATAATACCAAAGTTTTGCCATAAGCAATACCAAAATAAACAAGTTTGCAGTTGCTATAGATAAGCAAATTTGGCAATACAACTTACAAAAAGAGAGATCCATAATACCAAAGCATCATTTCTTTACAAGATGAGTAGATAATAAGTTAATAACATGGTGGGGGTGACATAGAATCTCAAGATAACATCATCATGAGAAGTTCCTTACGCTCTTCAAATGGACATCCTAGCAAAGCCGTTAGATCCTCTGGATGCTTAGTTAGGAAAAGATGTGCTTGTTTAATTTGTGCATTCTCAACACCAAGTTCAACCAAATGGTTCCAACCATCACTGGCTTTCATTGGAGTATGTTCAAGAGCTTGTATGTACTTATCGCCAGTTGATTCAATTGCCTCCGCTATCTTGTGCAAACTTTTTATCACTTGATCAACAATAGGAATTTTGTCCTTCAATTTTCTATTTTTCTTTTGTGAATTTGCAGTTGACTTGGTTTCAGGGGTAATCACATGCTTATGTTCATCATCTTTGTCGTTTGGTTCCTCATCATTAAGCCCATTGAAACTCTTCAACAAAATTTCATTTCTAGAAACCACACTATCGATGCCGTCAATCTTATGAGGATCACACTCGTTGGTTGCACTAAAAGTCCTCCTTCCTTGTATCTCAGCTGCAGTTTCAGCATCTTCCCAGTTGTCCTATCAGCTACAAAAAGCTCTAATAATTTATTATAATTTCGGATAGACTTGGTCCTCCATTTAGCAGTGTCTGGTTGAGCCTGAAACATATTTTCAGCTAATTTTAGATCATGTTTTTTGAGAAAAAAATATTTTAGAAATATGTTTCATCATTGCTGGAACTCTAATTTTAGCGTTTCAGTAATGCTGAAACCACTGTTTTAAAAAACCTCCGCCTAGTCCGTTTAAACGTACGCCTAGGCCTAGGCGGTACCTAGGCCGCCTAACTAGCGCCTAACGTCTAGACGGTATTTAGGCTACCCACCTAGATTTTAAACGTTTAATAGAGCATTGTCTGCTTACGTGGATTGCATCCTGTAGGCCTTGATTATGATTTTATGTGTCGTAGCCTACATGTCCTCCAAACTCCATTAACCTCCAAATATGAACACCTCCACTACCTCCTCCGACGTTCAGCAAAATCTCATCGACCACCACTTAAATAAAGAAAGAAAAATAACGCTCAGAAACCGCTTAAGCGCCCGCCTAGGTGACTAAGCGCTGGGCGTCAAGTCCGACTCCTAGAAGCGCTCAGCGTTTAATGTAACATTAGCTGAAACTCAGAAATTAGAGTTTTAGCATTGCTGAAACTCATGCTTAGCAACTCTAATTTTAGCAGCTGCTAAAATCAGAGTTTCAGCAGTAGCATTGAAATAGCTGCTGAAACATGATTTTATGTTCAGTAGTAGCACTGAAACAACTGTTGAAACATGATTTTATGTTTCAGCATTGCTGCGATCTGAAATCAGAGTTTCACCAGTAGTGCTGAAACTATAATTTTAAAGTTACAACCTGACTGAAACCTTCATCGTCATTGTAATATGTGGCTTTAAATGTGAGTAATTCAAAAAATAATATTATGTAATTTTACCGCGATTAGCCTATCCCAAACCTTAGGTTCTACACTCCACATACTCATGTTCTGATTCCAAACAAAACCACTCCCAACAGTCTTAAACAAATCATAACAAACTGTCCATTTTGACTTCATATACTTCATACGATCCTTTACAATTTCCTTGTCAAATGGCTTATCGGGAAAGCTTTCTTTGAGTTTGTTCATTATTTCGTTATAAGCCGTTGATGTAAAATTCCCATCAACTCGGTTTCCCAATACATGTTGATGCAAGTAAGCATCAATTAGTTTATCTTCCATATTAGGAGTCCATATCAAGGTATTATCATTCCTTCCTAGAGAAGAATTACCTTCCACATTCCTTCTTTTTGATATTCTTTAATTCATGCAATAATGTTACAAGGAATTTAAAAAATTATTCACGCATCAACTAAAATTATCAATGAGAGATGATGTGAAGATCACGATAAATAAACCAACATTCATGCCATCAAAATATAGGATTAAAATGACATTAGTCTGATAATTATCAAGTACAACCCAGATGAAGGTTACAACCCAAATGGAGAGTACAAATCAAACAATAACAAGCATAATTAAAACTAATCATCGATGGTAATCTCGCCATATAGCCGTTGCTATGCCATCTCTCTTCCACTCCCCTCTATGAACATCTTTATCCTCATTTGCATCTTCTTCTCTTCTTCAACTTGAGTTTCATCATGTTCCTCATCCTCTTCTGGAAAATCATCATCTGGATTGACACCCCTTAAAAAATTATGCAAAATGCAACAAACTAGAATGATCTTGTTTTGTGTTTGAACACCGTCGTTTGCTTCATTTGAACTTGCTATAATTGAAAATCTTTTTTTCAAGACACCAAATGCTCTTTCAATGGCATTGTGAACTGATGCATGTCTTAGGTTAAATAACTCACGTGGATTTCTTGAATACGCTTTCAACTGATAGCGTTCCCTACTATAGGGTGAAAGTAATCCACTTTGTAACATGAATCCAGCGTCACGAAGATAATATTTTCCTATAAAATAATTTCATTTTGAGTAGTAGCTTATTACAAAGACATAATTTTAGACTTTTTATTAGTTTATAATTATCTTGAGCAATCTTAAGTTGAAATCGCCTTCGTAAAGCATCCTTAATAATTCTGGAATGAGATGCAGTTCCTTCTCATCCAGGCAAAACATAAGTGAATTTCAAGTCATAGGTGCAAGCGGCCAACATATTTTGTATGGAATAGTCTTTTCTACCACCATATCTAGGGGCATCGGTAGGAGAAACTTTTAGTCGAATATGTGCTATCAATTGCCCCAACACAATCTTGATATCATAGACATTAATTAAAATCTAATACATAACAACCTACTCAAAGATTAGAAGTGAATGCAGTTATCATCACCTTGAAATAGTGATGAAACTTTGAATTGGTTAGTATCTCCGAAGAAACTTGTGATCCATCGGGTTGTATAAAGAACACCTCCTCTTAACTCAATCATAGCTCTTAGAACATTATGAAAATGACAACTTACACTCTTCAGATTGACTAAATATCTTACTAACTTTTCAAGTTGTTACATTGTGTCCCAACATCTATAAAAATTTTGCAACTTATTCTTCACTAGTAACCCTTCGAGTTGGTTTAAGCCCACCGTTCCTCTTTGATATTCCACACAATTGATTAAAAGTTGGTGGATTCATTCGGATTATTTCATGACATATAACTCTTTGAGACATTATTTCTCGCACAACATCTCTTAATTCCCTCGATTCTTGAGGTTCAATATTTAGTCTCCTAATCCTTTCTCTTCGATGCATGAACCAATAAACAAATACGCAAATAGCATATGCAACCGCAATATTACATGTGTGTTGAAATTGGACCCATGCATCCATTATCTATCAACAAGATAAAGAATTTACAATTAAGAGAAGGAATTTAAAATATATATAACTGTATTATAAATACACCTTTTTCTAATCAATATAAAGGCTAGTGTTCTAATATATTGAAAATGTTGGCAATCTCGAACAGTTTTTGTAATGTCAGAGACACATTTTTCTCACCATTTGAATTTGAGATCTTCAATTGAAAAAGAGCTAAGCATTCAGTTAAAAGAAAGAAAGGGGAAGAATGGATCTTGACTTTGTTTACTGAAAAGAGAAGATGTGGATGATATGCACCCAACAAATCTCTTGGCCAAGATTATTTCAAATGCTAAAACTTCTAAAAAAGTTACATATCATGCTTCAATTAGAATGTTTGAATCAAAGACAAACTATGGCAAACATCTATTGCTTCCATGAGAATAGTGTAGAGAAGAGAGACTGAAGCAAGAACCAAAATTGTTTCGCAAAAATGAACAAATCCAAAAATCTCAAAAGCATGCCACTAACACTAGAAATGATTGATATTTACCCAATGTATGATACACTATAATATCTAAACTATAGAGTTTGATAACTGAGTTCATGTTGACGGGCTCAGAACTCTTAACTATAATATTACAGGGTTCTATGTACACTTATTTAATGGGATTAGTAATGATTGTTATTCTAACAGCAATATGAAATATATTTTGACGTATTAGCAATTTATAGAAATATTTATGAATCTCAAGAATTATTGATTGAAAATTAGCTTGCTATTGATTACCCTAGAATGCCTTCTTATTCTAGTCTTTCATCTTGCTTGTGCTTTTTTTTTCTAGATGCAATTACAATGTAACAACAGAATCTTTAGTAGTAATAAGTATACCAAATTCCAAATTGTTAAAGTCTGCTACATGAACATTTTTTTCTATTAGGACAAGCTTCTCTAATAAATTATTATCTAGTTAATCTTAATCTTCAAAGAAAATATACTTCATATTGCTGTTAGAATAACAACCATTACTAATCCTATTAAAAAGTTCAAAACTTCCTCACCCCGTGATGTCTCACTTATCCATTCAAGGACATTGAAAGGGTTATGTGAAACTAAATGAATGATATTTACCCATTGTACAACAAATAAAATTTCCAGCAATATCACATTCCTTTTAGAGAATCTCCAACATGATAAAAAAAATTGATAAGATTTCAAGGGTTTTGAAAATACCGGAGAAGCTGGATGATGGACTGATGACAGCTGAGAGAATGACAGCAACTAAGGCACAACGGTGACTGAGGTCACACTCGCGACGGAGGAATCAGCACGGCGAAGGATCTGGTGGCATAGGCGTTGCGCA